GTGTGTGTGTGTGTGTGTGAGAGAGAGAGAGAGAGAGAGAGAGAGAGAGAGAGAGAGAGAGAGAGAGAGAGAGATATTGATTGATTTGGGGGACAGGTGTAACTATCCTGCAAGACTAGAGACAATAACACAGGAGACAGACAGGGTGAGATCCAGGAGCTAATGTGATGGGAACAGTGACTTGGATTAATGTGCACATTGCCCTTGGACATTTGCTTGACACCCTGGCTGGATGCGCCTGTCCTGACACATGCAGGGACCACATGGAGAATTCACATGGGAAGGACAGAAAACTCAAGAGATTCGGGAAGACAAGGATCATGGAGGAAGGAGCCATGTGCAATCTCCTGGGGTGCCCAGGACAGCTGGAACAATTCCACTTTTTAAAAAAAATGACAAAAGACTTCTAAGGCAACAGATAATAACACCAGGCTGGTCAGCCCTGTTCTATCAGGGAAAGTTGAAAGCATGAATGTGGTTTCTCTGCCTTCCTTGGTGTAGGCAGCCCAAAGTTTAGCCCACACGGAGAAGAATGCTGCCCTCTCTGACAGTGTTAGATGTGGCTGGGTACTCTGCTTGTTTCTCTAAACAATCTGGGTTCGTGCAGCAAGGGTAGGGTATGGTACATTTTTCTTCAGAAATATTAATTCCAGCATACTGGAAGGCTTAACTTACTATTAGGAGTATTTCAGACCCCAAGAAATGCATTCCTCACCAGGTGCCCAAGCCAGCTTGGTACTGACCTGCTCACGCATGATGTCGGAGAGCTCCTTGGCCATTTCCCTGTAGTTGGCCTTCATCTCTTCCTGGTACTCCAGCTGGTCTTCTTTAATCAGACGTTCATTCACTGCTAGGGCTTGACCACACGCCTCCACAAATTGCCTGAGTGAGGTGAGAGGGGATAAGGGCATGTAGAAGGCGGACATTGGTCCGGCTAGAAGTACCCGCCTGAACCAGAGCGGCGCTATAGTTTCGTTCTGTAGCACCCTCAAATGCCCATTGTTACGTGTGGTTCCCCAAGACAGTGCCATTGGTGGGTGGTGGAGCTCTTGGAGGTGGTACCTAGTGGGAAGTCTCTAGGCTGTTCGTGACATTGCCTATGAAGGGGTCGTGGGGCTCAGGACCCTTCCTCATTCTCTTTGGCTTCCTGGGTACTACAGCGTCTTCACTGCCCACCCCTCACCACAGGCCCCAACAACATGGAACACCATGAGCCCAAGCCAACCCTTTCTGTTTATAAGTGAATCATCTCAGCTGTGTTATAGTAACAGAAAGCTGAGCACCACAGAGGGATGAATGGTCTCTGTGGGAAAGCTGAGCACCACAGAGGGATGAATGGTCTACGTGGGAACACTGAGCACCACAGAGGAATGAATGGTCTCCGTGGGAATGCTGAGCACCACAGAGGGATGAATGGTTTCCATGGGAAAGCTGAGCACCACAGAGGGATGAATGGTCTATGTGGGAACACTGAGCACCACAGAGGGATGAATGGTCTCCGTGGGAAAGCTGAGCACCACAGAGGGATGAATGGTCTCTGTGGGAACGCTGAGCACCACAGAGGGATGAATGGTCTACGTGGGAACACTGAGCACCACAGAGGAATGAATGGTCTCCGTGGGAAAGCTGAGCACCACGGAGGGATGAATGGTCTCCATGGGAACGCTGAGCACCAGAGGGATGAATGGTCTCCGTGGAACACTGAGCACCACAGAGGGATGAATGATTTCCGTGGGAACACTGAGCACCACAGAGGGATGAATGATTTCCGTGGGAACGCTGAGCACCACAGAGGGATAAATGGTTTCCATGGGAACACTGAGCACCACAGAGGGATGAATGGTTTCCGTGGGAACACTGAGCACCACAGAGGGATGAATGATTTCCGTGGGAACGCTGAGCACCACAGAGGGATGAATGGTTTCTGTGGGAATGCTGAGCACCACAGAGGGATGAATGGTCTATGTGGGAAAGCTGAGCACCACAGAGGGATGAATGGTTTCTGTGGGAACGCTGAGCACCACAGAGGGATGAATGGTTTCTGTGGGAAAGCTGAGCACCACGGAGGGATGAATGGTCTCCGTGGAACACTGAGCACCACAGAGGGATGAATGATTTCTGTGGGAAAGCTGAGCACCACAGAGGGATGAATGGTCTCTGTGGGAAAGCTGAGCACCACAGAGGGATGAATGGTCTCCGTGGGAATGCTGAGCACCACAGAGGGATGAATGGTCTCCGTGGGAA